TCTATGAACTTGTTCCCTCTGCCCAGGGAGACCCCGCCACCCTCTTCTCTCCTGGGCGCCGCCCCCCCCTACACTTTCCCAGCCCAGCTCTGGTTCGCACCCTTTCAAGTGCAGTAGAAGCAACTGGGGGGCTTGTTCCATGGCAGATTCTGGGCTCCCCCATGAAAGGCTCTGCTTGGGTAAGGTTGGCATGAGGCCTGGGGATCTGAGGGTAACTAGGACTGCAGGTGGTCCTTGAACCACATTTTGAAAAGCACTGATGTTGCTTTCAACTGAGGCCTGCTTCTCTCTGGCAGGCTGTGAGCAGCTTGAGGACAGGGCATACTCCTCACACCCGATACGCTGGATGGGTGACGGATGGCTGCCGTGTACTGAGTGCTTCTTTTGCGTCTGTTACTGTTTTAAACCCTCTCTGTGGATGACCTCATTTAATTCTCCCAATAACTCTATGAATTAGGTCGCAATGATTATCCCCACTTTAGAGATGAAGAAACTGAGGCTCAGAGAGATTAGGCATCTTACCGATGAGGGGCAGAGCAGGGATTACGAATGGACAAATGGATGGATGAATAAGAGGAATGATGATGTAATAGGTGAGTTTTAGGTTACACGTTTATAGAGCCATCTGTTGTGCTGGGCGCTGAGAGCCTTCAAAAGCGTGAGATGGGGGCCCAGGCAGTGGGGGAGGGGCAGGAGCTGGCTGGTCCATACCTTGCAGCCCTCACAAGTGATGCAGCGGTAGTGATAACCGGTTGCCTTGTCCCCACACACGACACACTGCTCGTCTTTGTCCAGGTAACTAGGGATATACCCTGGGAGGGAGGAAGGGAGGCAGGCAGGCAGGCATGGCTTGGGCCCCTAGCAGGGAGGCTCTTACACTTTCTGCATTCCCCAACTTTCCTTTCCTGGCCCATCCCCTAGCCCAGCCCCCCTGAAGGGTAGAATCCTAGGCACATTAGAGGTGATCTTGTCCATCCCCTTCCCTAAGAACATGGAGAATCCCAGAGTTCTTCCGTTTGCTCATTCAGGGCCTTTCTCTCGCTGCCCCCCCAGAGACAAGGGGGTGCAGGAGAAGCAGCAGCAAATGTCAGCAGCTCATCTCAGGGGGGAAGACAGCCCCTCAGCTCTTTAGCCCAGGCCCTGATTTGGGGGTGGGGTAGGGGTCTCGGGCAAGAGGGTTATGGGAGAAGGGGAGAGGTCCTTTCTGACCTAATCCATCTTCAAGGCTGGGGCCCACATCACCCCTCTCACCTTCAGACAAGTCCATCCCAAGCCCTCTAGGAGGCGCTCCCCGTGGGGCACAGGAGCTGCTGGCACACGCCAGGCTCCAGAAGAGCCCTGGTCTGGCGTGGTGGCGTTTAGGGCAGGGAGGAGGGGCACACACAGCCAGGCTCACCTGACATGCTGGTTTTCAGGGAACATTGGCCGTTCTTTCTTTTTCGCTTTCCATCTGGTGACCTGGCACTGGATGGGGGCAAAGTGGGCAGAATCACAGAGCAGTCTTTGGGCAGACCCCTTCTCATCCAACAGGCTTAGATACCCCGCCCCCCCGGCCCAACTCCCTGCCCTTCATGTCCTCATTCTACCTCCCACCCCTAGGTCAGCTGACAAAACTGAGAAGGGTCCAGCTATCTAGAAGCTTCAGAGAGAGATAAGGGGCTTGGCCGGGGCACAAGCATGTTCCAGGGCGCGCACGCGCGCACACACACACACACACACAGCATTATAGAACCTTCAACACCCACAATCTACAATATCCACATATTTAAGCCTTCAGTGCATGAGAAATGCAGAAAGAATCTTCAGGAGATGCTCAGTTATATAACCTTTAGAACACACACACACATACACACACACACACACACACACGCAACACAAGCCCACTAGATATGAATCACGATGCAGCCTTCAGTATGAACCCTAGCATGGTCAATAAGCACCAGGATCTACATAACTACACAATTTTTAGGGCGTTCTCCAGTGTGTTATATGACCTCTAGGGTATGCCCCATGTGTTACACAACCCTCTGGACAGACACCTAATAATACTCCTCCCTTCCCTCAGTAAACATGTTGCTTGATTTCCAGGTCAGACACACGTGCTACATAACCACAGAGCGGGCAAACACAGAGTGCCCAGCAACTGGAACCCAGAGCCAAGAACAGGAGCCTACGAAAGGACTTCCAGAGTCACCCTGTCCACGGCATCCATCTCACAGAGCAGCAGACAGAGGCCCCCACTGGTGCTTGGTGACGCCGAGCACTGTAATCAGTCGGGACAAGGACCCCGAGCCCCTCCATGCAAGGTATTAGCAACCCACAGCCACTGCACACATGTCGCCCGCCTCTCCACATACATGTTACATAACCTCAGCACACACAGGTTACATAAGCCTTCCACATGCATGCACGGATTGTATAACCTGCCACACCCACTCTCCGTGTGGCATGTTGCAGGGCCCCTCCCCTGACGCAGCTCCCAACATACTGACACAGTGACCTTGGTCAGGGTCATAGTCAAAGACAGCTCTGTGCGCCACCCTCCCTGGAGACTACCCCTGTCGGATTACTACAGTGTTTGGAAGGTCAGATCTCCCTTCCCGCTCCAGCCGGGGAGTGTGTGGGGGAACTCTGAGCCACCCAGGGCCCCAGTTGAGCAGCCCGGTTTTCAGCAATTATTAGATTTATAGCCTCTGGGTGCAGTCCCAGGGACAGCCACAAGGTGGCGCATGGACATGGGGGAGGGGAGAATAACGGGTAGGGGTGCAGCTCTGGGGGACCGGGAACCCGGATTCCAGCCTTTCCCTGCTTAGGAGCAGCGTCTTCCAGATTCACGAGGTCTGGGCAGGGAAGTACAGAGGTTGCCAGTGAGAGCTACGCAGAGACACGCCCGATCTTTTTCAGAGCCCCCCGCCCTGGGGTGAGTCTTTGGGGAGGGGAAACTCTAGGTGCCCTACCCAACTGACAGCCCCATCCATTTCCCCCACCCCTCCAGAGACCCAGTCTTGGGCCCCAGGGCTTTGCCTGGCCAGGCTTCTGGCCTCCTGGCTCAGAATCTGGTCTCCTAGGCAACGGCCACTCTGCTCCCCAGAACAACCCATCCCCCACCCTCTCCCTGGCCATAGACACAGGCTGTACCCAGCTCCAGGGGCACCACGCCAACTGGCACAAAGTTCTGTGCCACTCGGAGTTAACGGGAGAGGTAGAGCCCCTCTGGGCTCCTCAAGGGTAATGCAGATCACAGGTAGCCATCCCCAGCAATGTGTGTGGGGCTCATGCCTCCTCCACCGGTGAGCAAAACCTTCACAGTTGGCATTCACTCCACTTCCTGGGAGGAGCCCCATGGCAGCGCCCGCCCTTGCCCATGAACAAGGAAGAGCTTGTGGGGCTCCCAAAAGGTTCCAAATATAAGCATGGGCTAACGAGAGTTACTGGTGCATGTGCCCCGAGCTGTCACGTCACGTGCACCACGGCTCGTGGACTGCCCACGGGTGGTGATGTGAGCAGGCTGGCAGGGAGAGGAGGCAAATGGCGAGACTGTTTGCATTCCACATGCTCAGGTGAGGGCGGCCGAGGGGACATGGGGGGCGGGGGGGAAGCATGTGAGCCTGCCTAGGACTGTCCAGGGAGGGGCCAGGTGCCTGCCTCGTGTAATTTCTCCTTGTCACTTCCCCACTCCAAAATGGGCATCTCTCCTCCAGGTGCCTAATTCCCGTCACATGAACATGACCTCATCTCCTGGGCAAAGGTAAGCAGCAGGTTTGCTGGCCTCGCGTCCATTCCCCTAAAGGCCCAAGCTCGGCTCGCTTTTGCCCAACCAGGTGACCATGCCTGCCGGCTAAGAGTTGGCAAGACCTAGTTGCTGGACCCATTACCTGTTCTCCTCTGGGTCTGACCCACACTCCACCTTGCTTGGCTTCTGTTCCATTCACTTTAATTCCATCCAGGATGCCCTCCAGCACGCCAAGAGACTGGGTGGGCACAGTGGCCCCCCCTGGCACGCCCACAGATTGCCCACCCCCTGCCACCCAGGCTAGGGCACAGCACCCATGGTGCCAGCCTCAGCACTTGGCCTTTCACACCATGCCCTGAGCCCCGAGGGGGGTGGGCGGTGAGATAGGCCAGGGAGTGGCAGGTGGTAGTGCTGGGGGGAAAAGCTGGGTCCGTAGGGGAGTCCTGGGCTGGGGGAGTAGCTTCGGAGTCTTGTCCTGTCGAGGTCCCTGCAGAGAGAGGAGAGAAGCAGGGATAAGGTGGCACCGTGGTGGAAAGCGGTCCTTTGGTGGCAACATTGTGGGCTCTTTGAGCTCACAACAAGATGGCGGTGGGCATGGAGGGCAGGCGCAGGGAGAGAAGCAGGAGAACCCCTCGGACGGACAGGTTTTAGCAGGCAAAACTGGAGAGTCATGTCCTAAGCCCCAGACACGGAAAGGGGTGGAGGGAAAGAATGAGATCATCCATGTACCATGTCCCAGTCCTCACATTCAATCAAGTATCTGGCCCCTAACAATGCCTAATAAATGCTCTTGTTACCACTCCTCTAGCCAAGTTTTTAGAAAACGCACCATACTCTGGGGCAAGAGGGGACCAGAGATGAGCAATTTTCAAGCCAGGCATGGGGGGCGGGGGTACTTGTGAAGAAAGGATGGGGTGTGGGTATGGGGGCACCTGAGTGCCTTAACCGAGAGAGATATGCTGGCCGACTTGTGACTCCAACCCGGCCTCCCAAGGACTCCAGAGCCGTCCAGGAAGGTCCCAAGTCACACTTCCCAGTCTGAGGACCAGACACCCCAGTTGGTTTAGCTGAGCTGCCACCCACCAGGATGGCAAGGGGTAAAGGAAGGAAACTAGCACGTGTTGACTTCACAGATGAGGAAACTGAGACTCAGAAAGCTGGGCATCCACTCGAAGTCACCAAGCTAGTGAGCAGGTGGCTCAGGGCCTGAAACCCCGAAGCCTGGCTTGAATGCTTGTCTTGTTCCAATGCCTGGGGGCCAGGGCCGTGCCAACCTGGGCCCCCCATTTCCTCCACATGCACCTCTGACCACAGGCTCCCGACTGGAGGTTTACTGTCTGTGCACACAGGCAGGTGTGGGCATGTTTAAGGGGGACAAAGGGTGCAGTTCCCAACACACAGCCTTCATCCAGTAGCTGCTGCCCCAGAGACCTCGCCCCTGGGCCCTCCGCCCCACCCCCAGGAGCTGATAAGGAGCCAGAGTAGGAGGGGAATGTGAGATAAGTCAGGCCATTGGGCAGGGCAGTGGGGCAGGGCCCCTGCACCCAGGTGAGCCCTCAGTGTAGGGAGTGTGGCAGGAGGACAGAAGGGTGGCCCGTTCTGCCTCGGATACCCCCACAGACCAGAACAGGGCACTGGGGGCTGGACAGGAGACTGGGGGGGTTGTGAGCGGGGAGCCTTAGCCCAGAGAGCCGTCAAGAAAGTAGGTCAAGTTTTTCTTGGCTTGTGGAGAAATTCCTGTTATAAATTTATAATGGCGTAGCCAGCCCTGAGGGGTGGAGGTGGGGGGAGAAGTAGGAGTGGGTGGGGATGCCCAGGGACTGGGCACTGGGGCCTGCTGCTCTCGGCCAGAGCAGTGAGGGGTAAGGGGCCAGGGCAGTGGTGGGGTTGGGCTGGACAATAGAGGGCTATTTTCTGTCGCCCGTTTCCACTTCTCTCTGTGCCCAACAAGGCTTCCTTGGGTCTGTCTGTCTGCATCTGACTCTCTCTCTCTCTCTCTCTCTCTCTCGGTGTCTCCCCATCTCCCCCCCAGGCTGTGCCTCGGTGCTTGGCACACCCTGGCTGCAGTGCTGCCCCCGCCTGTCTCCTGCCCACCTGGCACGCTGCCACCACTTGTTTACAGAGGCTGGAAAAATCCACTCGCCAGCAGGAGGCCCAAGTGCCCCCGGGGAGGGGAGGAGGCGGGCGCAGGAGTGGGCATGCTGAGAGAGGGGCAGCCCTGGGGAGCAGGCCCCGGGGGCAGACGAAGAGGGCCAGGGTGTGTGCAAGTGGGTGTGAGCAGCCGTGGGCCGGGCCAGGCGGAGAACACCAGCAGCAGCCAGCCACATGCCACGGGCAATTCCTGCCCCAGGCCATAGCTCTGGAGGACCCCTCCTCCCTCACCCCGGCCACTGCCAGTTGCTACAGGGCACACCTGGGGCAGGGCCAACCTAAGCCACCATGTTTATCTTCCCTTCCCCCTCCCCAGCCCAGCCTTAACTCCAAATGTGTCTGGGCACTGCCAAGGGCTTGCACGTGCCCGCTGCGGGAGGGGAAGGCTCCTTCTCTGCCTCAACTCTACGCTGTGCTGAACGGTGTCCGGGTGCCTGTCGGCGTGACCCAGGCTACCCTGAGCCCCTGGCAGTGGGCAGAGGAGGAAGACACTGTCCTCACGGCTGAAGGCGCCTTGGCCTGGCATCTAGCAAGAGGCCGGGGATTCCTTGTCATCTCTCTAGGGACACACCTGGGTCTCTGAGGCGACACAGAGCACGTAAAGGGCCCAACATTCAGGGAGGCACATACCACGTGAGCCGGTGTTAGCTGTGGGCAGAGAAGGGTCAGTGGGGAAGGGGAGTGGGGCAGGGAGACCCACCCTGAAGGGCAGCCCCTCTCCCCTCCTGCTGGAGTCGGTTTTTTTGTTCTTTTTCTAACCCGGAGTCCTGCTTAACTCCCCCAGCTCCTTCCTTGCACCGAGGCTCAGGCCCACGGAGGCGGAGGGGGTGGGGCCATGGGGTTCTGAGTCCAGGCTGGACAGTTGGACAGCAAGACCCACCTGTCGGCTGGCCCGGCCACCCACTCCCTCCATCAGATAAGAGCGGCCGGGTGGCAGCGTGGGCAAGGTGCCCGTGGAGGGGGAAGCGTTTCATTAAGCCTGAGTGCTTCTGCAACGGGGGGCCAGCCGAGAGCCCAATGCGGCATCGGCAGGCTCCATGCCAGGTCCCCACTGCCAGGCTGTCCCCTCCGCAGCCCTGCGGACCCAAGGAATTTTCCTAAAGGACTCCTGGGGCGGCCAGAGGGGACCCCTGCCTCCGGAATCTAGCCCCCAGTTCTATACACATTACTCTCCTGGGTGTCTGCGCTTGGCTCTGGCCCCACCTGTCTGGGGCCCCTAAACTTTGTCCTAATGCTCTAAAGGAAGCCCAGCCCTCCTTGCCAACCACAGAAGGAAAGGCACACTCAGAGAGAGGGGGCCCAGAAAAGGGGAGAAAGAGGAGGAAGACTGGGGTGAAAGAGATGATGGGGGGAGAGGGGAAGAAAGATGAGGAGAACAAAGAGCGAAGCAGGGATGGGGGAGAGGGGGGACGCTAATGAGGTGTAGGGATAGGAAGAAAGGCGGCAATGAGATGAGGTGGGGGATGGGGCGAGAGGGAGGGGAGAGAGGGGTGAGGTAGAGAGGAGGACAGATATGGGGAGGAGAGACAAATGGAGGGGGAGACAAAGGAAGAAAGGTAACAAAGAAAGATGGGGGGGGGGCGTTGATTCATGCCCTGCCTAAGTCCCACCCCATGGAGGCTGGGGGAGGGGGAGTAGAAATGGTTTCCACGGTGACAGCTGGTTCTTGGTGGCCTGGCATGTGGGCTATTAATAGTGCCGTGGGTAGGTTCACACCTCCCTCTCCCCTTCCCCTTTGCCTGCTGCTGGGGGGCGGGGAGATACTATCCGCCCCCCACCCCGGACTCCTAATGATCTGGCATTGATGCGCTGACCCCATACCATGGGCATCAGGAAGGGTGATGATAAGGGGCCCAGGTGACTACTGAACCCAAACATACACATAGGCATGCACAGGCAGACACAGGCATCCGTGTGCAGACACTGCCGCCCATGCCGGCGTGGGCTCCCGTGGGCGGCCACGGGCACCAACAGTCCCTGGGAGTCTGGCGAAGGTGGAGGCTGCGGCGGCAACACAAGCCCCCCCACATGGAGGGGCAGGTGCCCCGCAGGGGTGGGACCTTGTTTTCCTTTCCCAGGCCCTCCCTGTTCTACTCTCAGGTGTGGACTGAGCAGGATTGCCCCACCCAACTCAGTCCTATCCTAGTGCCAGGAAGGCGGGAAGGAAGGTGCTGTTTGGCAGGTGTGAGATGGCAGAGGAGTAC